TTATTATTATCAACGTTTGGGGTGGAATATTTAACAATAATTTACTAGGTTTGCATGTACATGATGGACGTTTGAACGCTGTAAATTACAATTTTTTTTTAACAATACACTTTTTGATTTACTTGAAGATATACCTCTTAATATAATTCAAAATATGTGGTACCAGCACGATGGTGCCCCACCTCATCGCGGAAATGGTTAAACCAATATTTTCCAAACAAGTGGATTGGTAATAATAGTCCATTTACTTGGCCACCTAGATCCCCCGACCTTAATCCATTGGATTTCTACTTATGAGATCAAATGAAACAAATTGTGCATCAAGAGGGAATACACACGAGAACAGTTATTAAACAGAATAGAAATGGCTGCTACTGAAATAAGAAATTAACCATACATTTTAATTCGGCTGGAGAACTCTTGAATTCGTCGTTGTGAAGCATGTATTCTAGCAGAAGGAGGCTATTTTGAACAATATTTGTAATATTTATGTGTTTTTAAAAAAATGTAGCAGTTAATTATGATATAAAAATTAAAACTTTAAAGTGTTATAATTTCATAAATAATTCAAATAGGACATATATATTCATTAACATTTTTTTTTGGTAATTGGATTAGCTAGCATATGTCAAAGTTTGATGGTGAGCTAATAAATCACCCTGTATAATTAGGAGAAGACAATAAGAAATAAAAAATTGGCAAAAATGTAACCCGCGCAACTTTTAAAAAGTTGACTATTCTTCAGTAAGAGTTTCTTTATTATCAATTATCCTCCCCAATCTGCATATGCTTAAACAAATTCCAATGGATTTCTTGGCCAAGGAAATTTGCAATATATCAAATGTTACGCCGATCATAATGTAAACCAACAGTGAAAGCCACATGCTTTTATAGAGCGTAAAATTTTAAACCATATCACAAAAGTTTTATATTATAGCATTGCATGTTAAGATAGAGTATTTCAATGATGTTCACTTTTGAATAGCAGCCGATTTGTCTAATCCTTCCCGCTTTACCCATGCTGTTCTTTATCAAAATATACACTGACCGGCAAAAAAACCGGCCACTAAAATGTAGCCACAATTTCAAAGCTGGCTTACTTGCGAACCAGTCATTCGATTTTGATGATTCTTTTTTTGATCGAAAGGTTGATTCTTCTTTAATAATCCTGCGATAGTAATTTTTATTCGGATATTAATTTGAGCATATACGGGAGCAAGAAGGAGAAAACCTTTTTTTCTCGAAATTTGTAATACCCTGTGGGCACTGCAGCTGCTACAGCAGAGGGTGTTAACTGGAATCAAACGGTAGCCCAATCTTTTCTGAGCATTTTGTTTTTTTATTCACTCTATTATCTCTGTTACTAACGAAGATGCAGTATTTTAAAGCGATCGCCTGTGAAAACAAGACGAGTGACAATAGTAGCTGATGACCGTTTTATTGTTCTAAGCAATCGTAGAACGACAGCTGTAGAAGCTCGGTATCGTCTTCAAATGGTGCATGTTGTTGATGTCAGTGAGAGAACCATTCGCTGAAATATTGCTAGATGTGGTCTCATTGCAAGAAGGCTGCCAAAGGGCCGAGGCTGCTTCCAAGATATCTGCGCGCTTACATGTAAATTGGGAGATCAAGCAATGGAGGAAAGTCCTTTTTACGGATGAGTAGTGGTTTTGTCTATCACCCGATGGTCGATGAGCGAATATGAAGACGTTGAAATGAAAGATTTGTGGATTATACAATTATGAAACGCGAATGTTGCGATGGTGGTTCTGTGATGGTGTGGTCGGGAATTTACAATGAAGCCTATACAGATTTTTAATCTTTGTTAAAAGTGCCGCCTTAAATCACTGACCTTGAAAACAAAAACTGGGCACCCGAAATAGTTTTGCAAAAGTACTTACATTTTCTTAGAATTACGTACGTCCTTCATTATTGTAAACATCAGTTGACAAATAAACAAGAAAACAAACTTAATTTAATGTAACAATTAAAATTAATAGCGTGTGTGCCCCCCACGAGCTAAAATAACCTCATGTAGTCGACGCGGCATCGAACTGATTAGGTTTGTAATTGATTCCTGAGGAATTGCGGCAAACTCTTTTTCAAGGGCAATTCGTAACTCTTGAAGGTTGTCCAGTACGACAGGACGACGACGAATGCGTCTCTCAAGTTGGTCCCAAAGATATTCGATAGGGTTAAGGTCCGGGCTGCACGCTAGCCACTCTATTCGTTCAATACCCTACTTCATTAAGATATTCGTTAACCACACGTGATACGTGCGGTCGCGCATTGTCATGCATTAGCATGAATCCGTCACCAATAAAATGGGAATAGAACCTCCATGGAAAGGTACTCTTTCCGAAATTGTGCAAGTCGCAAACCTTTCATTACGACGTCTCCACACTCATTCTCGACCATCAGGTGACTGGAGACAAAATCGGGACTCGTCAGTGAAGAGCACCTTACCCCATTGTTCTATTTCCCAATTCATATGTACGTGTCCAAATTGAAGACGTGCTCGCTGATGTCTCTGGAGCAGCCGAGGTGTTTTGGCAGATCTTCTTGCAGTCAGATCACTTTTATCAAGTATTTGATGAATAGTTCTTTCACTTACGTCAACCCCACGCATCATTTGAAGACGATGCCGAGTTTCTACAGCTGTCGTTCAACGATTCCTCAGAGTGTTTAGAACAATAAATCGGTCATCAACTGCTGTTGTCACTCGTCTTCTACCAAAACCTTGCCGCCTAGTGAAATTTCCTGTTTCCACATATTGGTTCCAGGCATCCTGTTGTTCGGGGTATACCCAACATATGGGCAACGTATTGCTGACTTTTGCCATCCTCAATTAAAGTAACAATACGCGCAACATCAGTTACTGACAACAGGATTGCTATTATGTTAAAAGACTGTAAAAATCTTTAACAACTGTCAAATTACTATTCGAAACAAATGACATACGCTACCTAGCGCGCCACCTTAGATTTTTTATGCTTGTTTGTCTTATTTTTATAGGCGTTCGCTTTAAAACACTGCATCTTCGTTAGTAATAGAGATAATAAAAAAACCAGATGTTCAGAAAAGATTGGGCTACCGTTTGATTCCAGTTGACACCATCTGCTGTAGCAGTTGCACCCCACAGGGTATTACAAATTTCGAGAAAAGAAGTTTTTCTCATTCTTGCAGCCCGTATATGCTCAAATTATAATCTAAATGAAAATTCGCAGGATTATTACCAAAGAATCAACCATTCGATCAAAAAAAACAATCATCAAAATAGAATGCGCGGTTTGCGAGAAAGCCAGCTTTGAAGTTGTGGATAATTTATAGTGGCCGGTTTTTTTTGCCCGTCAGTTTATTTTGCAACAACAATCCAATCCTTTCTAACAACAAATTAAATAATAACTTTTTGTTGTGGTGATCCAATAAAGCCTTTGATTACAAAATCTGTTGACAACACCTTTCCTTCTATAAACATCATCCTTCTAAAACATTTATTTAATAATATATCCTTTTCTGGGTTTGTATTTTGAAAATCTTTTACATTAGTCATCATATTCTGCTTCAAAGTCCATTTTAGTTTCTTAAAAAGAATCATATTACGTTTATTTATTAACATTTCATTATAAAAGTAATATATTAACAAATTACATGAAACTTACCATTATTAAATCAAGCTGGCAAACACAAATAACAATAACAAATTATATAAAAAACACAAGCACAACCAATAATAAATTCCTGTTAAACATTGAATTTATTTTAAACTATGATACATTTCGCTTATTAATAGATAGGAAGTAACAAGGTATTTGGAAAGTATTGTGTCCATATAACTGGGCCAGTTTAGAGTGAATTATAAAATTATTATATTAAAAACTATAACTCATTAATATTCGTTAACGAACCGGTAAGTTAACTTCTTTAAAAGTTAAAAGTAGTGTTATGTTCAATAAACGTTTGTAAAATATATAAAAATTATTTCTGACCCTTCCTCTAATCCTTGTCTGGCGTTCTGGTGACATATCTCAAGAGGTCCAGAATAGAAGAAACTAAAGAAGTTACATTTAATTCCTTTATTATTAACTTTTATCTTGTACACCAGAATTGATTATTATTATGTATGTATTATTATAGTATTAATATTTTACAGTTTTTTTTTTTAATAATTCTCTTTTTGTTACTGAATTCTTTTTTTATGATAAGAACACAGTAATATTGCGACCCATGATAGAAGAGACGTTGGGACCTGGAATCTTAACATTAAATATAAAGTAACATAATAAAAAAATGCACCCCATAAAAATGAAATTGTCCGAAATCGATTTCTCAAAAATAAAATGAAATGTTTATCCTACTTTTGATGCATAACAAAACTATTTGGTTGCGTTTGTTCCATTTTTTTTCTAAGTATTGTTATGTGTGATTTTTAGAACTCCTAGAATCTCTCTTTTTTTCTGTTATTTTTTAAAAATGATTTTATCAAATCACTTTTTAATTTTTCTCCATACTCTATATTTTTTTAACGACGACTTTTTTTCTTTCTTTTTTTCACGCATGCCTTAACTATTTTTTTTTTTTGTGTTTTTGTCTTTTTTGTAATGAATTCTATGTTTTATGATGAATCAACCTCGGTAATTTTACCGAGATTATTTTCTTTTATAAGTTATTGAGATACTGTTTGGAGCTAATTGAAAATTACAGTTCTTTTTTTTCTTATTTTTTCCTTTCTTTTTTTTTTTCTTGAGTGTGACGTATTGAACTTAATAACTCAATGGGGCTTTTTTTTATATGCATAAAACAAAATGTGAAAGGTTTAAAACCTGTATACCCATTAGTAAGGGGCATAGTATCCTCCCCGACGATAACTCCTATTAAACAAAAAGAGAACTTGTCAGAATTTTTAATTTTTTTGTTGGTAAATAAAAATAAAATAATGAGGAATTTTGGGCCAAGAAAACTTAAAAAAAGAGAGAGATTATTCACAATGAAAGTCCACGCAAAGTACTCAGTGTTTTTATTTTCCTTGCTAGCATACACTGGAAGTTTCAAATTACAATAATTGTTAAGATATACATATCTGAAAAAGGACCAGATCATCTGAAAATCTTTTAGAGCAAGGGTCACATAAAATACACCTTAACTAAGCACATTTTAAGGTCTACTTTATGTTTATCGTTAGCTTCTAAACGGTAAAATACAGATGTAAATTAAACCAAAAAAAAAAAAATAATAATATCACACAATGATAATATAATAAATAAAAAAAAACTTTAAGCTGAAATTAGCTTAAAAAAATTAGCGAAAGAAGCAGCCCTTAAAACGACATCAGTGGTCTAGTAATTTTTTTTATTTTTTCGAACCACGACAGTCGATACTGTGTGTGTACAATTATTGATGTTTGTGGCAAACTATGTTGTACGCAGGAATGTACCTGCAAAACAAACATAAAAAATTCCGTTCAACATCACAAACAACAATGGAAAAAAATATATTATTATTATTACAATCTTTAAGAGAGATTTATTAGCGCGAAAATTTCGTTTTCAATTCCTTGGCCCAAAATAGCTACAGAGAGAACCCATCTTTTAATCACATTCCATAATTCTTCTAACATTACCAAAAACATTAGAACAATTACAGGAATATTAATTATTTTCAATTAAATGCTACTTTTAGTTAAAACATTAAAAAAATGGGTTAATTAATTTATTTTCTATTAATTTTGAGATAATATTACCTTGGCCTGCGACTGGGTCGATACCCGGGAAAATAACCCCTGGTGGTGCTCCTACTGGCTCCGCGGAACATCCCTCTACCCCTTGGTGGCCGGTTGGTGGTCGACAATCCTGGACGATTCGTTCGTTTCGGCATCACCTAAAATCAAAAATTAAAAAACCAAAATAAATCCATTAAATAAATGAATATTTTTGTTATAACCTTAATTTGTCTTCCTCTGAACAAAGACTCATCCATTGCCATTGCCGTCTGCACGGAATCACGATCTCCAAATTCAATGTAAGCGAAACCCTTCGGGTGACCGTCGAACTTGTTACAAAGTATCGTAACGCGGTTTATAGAACCGCATCCGTGGAAGTGCTGCTCTAATTCTTCGGCCGTTGCGCCGTAATCAACGTTGCCGACGTATATGCTGCGATTATCCACTTCCATTTTTTCTTCAATAGACATGTTTAATGGACTTGCTAATAATTAAAAAAAAACTTATAATGTGTTCTCTTATATCTTATACAAGCGATTTTTAATCCAAATAAAATGAATAATTTTTACTCAAAAGTTACTATGTTAGAACAACCAAACTTAAGACTGAAATAATATTTTTCATGATGGGATATATATCCTAGTAAAATTGTAATAGTAGTAAAATAAGATGTTATGATGCCTAATATCGGCATCACAACATCTTATATATCCACAAACTTCTTGCATTAAACTACATATGTGACAGTTTGTGATGAAATGATATAAAAATGATATTGTCCGTTTTTACCTCCTTGTTTATAAAAGTACATTTAGTGTCCATTAACATAATTATTTAGAATATATATGTAATATTAACATAATGGTCATTTCATTACATTTGAAAAAAATGTTTCTTTACAAAATAAATAGTAATACAAAAGTGAAAGCTGTTAAAAGAGCAATACTTGTGATTGAAAATTATTGTTCCAAGGATTCCAAAAATGTGATTTTCCCATTTTTTGATCGAATTGATATTAATGGAGAAACATTTTATCGACAAACATTCAGCCAAAATAAACTAATCAATTACATTTATTCTACAAAATTGTTAGTAAAATTTTGTGACGATGGAAACCAGGAAATTGCAGATGAACTGCTCCACAACATTTATGCTGAAAGGTGCGTGAAATGGATTGAAACAATTGAAAACCTAGAATTTCAAAAACCGATTAGGCATGCTTGGTTCTTGCTGCGAAATCTTGGAAGCGGCAATCCACCCAAAGAACAACCAACAAGAAAGATAACAACTTGAAACAGGAAAGTCCTAAATGAAATGAAAACGGTAAAAGCCCCCGTCTTTGATACCATTCATGCTGAGTTTCTAAAGCACAGTGTCAGATTTACTAGGCAATGGCTTGTGCAATTCTTTTCAGATATCTTTCAGACTGGAAATGTTCTCCATTAGCTTAAGAGGGCAAAAATCGTTGCTATTCTAAAACTAGGAAAGCCAAGAACACACCAAAAAACTACCGCCTAATTGCGCTTATAAGCATGGCTTACAAACTTTTTGAAACCCTGCTATACCGGGGGATTCAGACCACCCGTACCAGGGATTTTTCTCAAAAACGCAATTACCTTAGAAGTTGCAATAAAAAATATGATAATAAAATCGTATATGAAGAATACAATGTACCAGTTTTTATCACGCTGGTAACACCGGAAGTTGGTGGTAATGACATCAACTTAAAAATGTTCATATACGAAAAAATATGAAAACAATAATTGTAATCATCAATAGTACTTAAACGTTGCATTAAATCTAAGAAGAGTTAAAGTAAAAGTTGTTTAGTTTTAAAATATCTATTCTACGATAAAACTTAATTCATATGACAACTTGGAAAATTTTTAAGTTGATGTCATTACCACCAACTTCCGGTTACCAGCGTGATAAAAACTGGTGCATTGGATTCTTCATATACGATTTTATTATCATATTTTTTATTGCAACTTCTTAGGTAATCGCGTTTTTGAGAAAAATCCCTGGTACGAGTGGTCTGAATCACCCGGTATAACAGGAAACAATACTACAACACATACCTATGGAACAAGCAAGATTTCGACCAATCCGCAACTACACAGACCTATGTGCAAACGGGCTTTCAAAAACAATTAAACACATCTACTGTTTTCATTGAGTTATCAGCTCCATACGATAACGTATGGCGACAAGAACTAATATACAGGGTGTGTCAAATGTCTGGAATATAGCCAATAACTTCGCCATTTGTGGTTTTAAAGAAAAATGTTTCAAATACAAGTTTCTTTATTAATCATGGCGCATTTTTTTGGCAATATTTGCTTGTTTGTATTGCTTTTTTATTCGTTTCTATGGCAACCAACATTGTTATTTTAAATGGGATGCATATATTTTTTTTGCATACTTTGATAGAGGATAAGTCCCTCTATGCGATGAACATATCAAATCATATGGTTGTATAAGAAAAAAATCGAGAAAAAATACGTTTTTTAAAAGTCTTAAATCAGCTAATTACAATCAAAGTAGGTTTAAATGTCTTTAAATGTCAAAAAACTGACAGTTTAAACAAATATGGCGCAATTAAGCGAATGACAAAGAATCCAAATATTAATAATGTATGGGTACGATGCAGGTGATAGAAAACGCATTCAAAGTGAAGTTGTGTTCGCACTGTTCAATAATATTTACCCGGATACACAATCCACAGTATCCAAAATATTAAAAAAAAATTTTAGCACCGGAAGTGTTAAAAACCTTCCAAAAAGTTGATCACCGAAGACACTTACCAATGGCCATACATTATTAATTATTGATAATTGTTGAAACTGTAATTTTTTTGACATTTAAAGCTGTAAACGGCGTTATTTCGGCGCCTACTTTGATTGTAATTAGCTGATTTAAGACTTTCAAAAAACGCATTCTTTCTCGATTTTTTTTTATACAACCATATGATTTGATATGTTCATCGCATAGAGGGACTCATCCTTTAAAAAGTATGCAAAAAAAATATATGTATCCCATTTAAAATGAACAAATACTAAAACGAAACAAAGAACAATGTAAACAAGCAAGTATCGTTAAAAAATGCGCCACAATTAATAAAGAATTTTTTATTTGAAACATTTCTCTTTAAAACCACAATTGCGAAGTTATTGGCTATATTCCAGACATTTGACACACCCTGTATAAAGTAATCCGAGCTATTCCATGCAGAAAGATCACTGATATTATCAATGCCATGCTCTCTAACAGATGCTTCCAAGTTATCATGAGCGACAATACTAGTACCCAAATGAAACTGAACAATAGCTTTCCACAAGGATCGGTGCTGACTCTCCTGTTCTTCAGTCTCTACATAGCAAATATGCCTGAAACAACATCAAAGAAGTTCGGATACGCAGACGACTGGGCGCTTGCTACAAACCATAAAGATTTGGAGACTATTGAGTAAATTATAACAAACGACCTGGCTACCCTGGGGAGATATTTCCGTGACTGGATATCGCAGTCAAATATCACCAAGACGAAATCATCGTGCTTCCACTTTAAAGCTGAGTGTCGACAAAGCGATTAAAATCTTATGAGATTTTTGTTTCATGAGAAATTTATCTCAGATGTGTTTCCACAGAACATAGATATTTCTGTGAAACACCCGAGTTCAGAAATTTTTGTTTCATGATATAAAGTGTCTCTGAATACGCTGTTTCCACAGTTGTCAATGTAACGTGAAAGAATGTGTCACTGTGTGTTGTTTGTAACTACTATCCGTGCAAAAAGTCAAGGCCCCTCACTTTAGAGATCGATATCTACGCAACCGCTCGATAAAAAAAAAATGCGACAAAGTTTCTTGTAATCACTAAACATTTCTACGTAACATATGTTACTTTGAAAATTTTCGGATCCACGGTTTTTCTTTTATCGCGAGTAAAATGAAAAAAGTACCCGATTTTTTACGGTACCAGCAACTTTGTCAACTTTGCGATTTTTTTTCTCGAAAACTATCGTACGAAAAAATTTGAATTTTGAACAGGTGGTAGCCTGATGTGTTCTTAAACACAGAAATAAGCTATGGGGGGAGTGGAGGGTTCCGTCGAATCGGAACAGATGGTGCGTCCCAGACAGTACATCGCGCCTTTATCTTACCTACATAAAGAAATAAGGCGCGACGTCCTGTCTGGGACGCATTATCTATTCCGATTGGACGGAACCCCCGTCACCCCGCACAACTTATTTCTTCTGTTTCTCTTCAATTTGTAATTCCATTAAATCGCTCTTAAAAAATTAGGGAGCTCTAATTTTGAAAAACTGATAACGGAATCCGACTACCGACCTTATTTGACATATTTTGGTCAAAACTGCGTTGAAATCCGCCAGGTCGTTTTCAAAATAACCGCATCCTACTAAACCGCGATTTTCCTCGAAACTATATGGAATGAATATCGAAAAAATAAAATATGCCCCACATTAAAAACACATCGGTTTACCACCAGTTCAAATTTGAAACTTTTTCCTTTAATAGTTTTGGAGAAAAAAAATCGCAAAGTAGACAAAGTTGCTGACACTCTCAAAAATCGGGTACTTTTTTCACTTAACTCGCGATAAAAGAAAAAACGCGGACTCGAAAATTTAAATCAAATTAACATATGATACGCAGAAATGTTTACTGATTACAATAAACTTTACCGCAATTTTTTTCATCGAGCGATTACGAAGATATCGATCTCTAAAGTGAGGCCTTGCTTGACTTTTTGCACGGATAGTAGAAAGAAATAACAATTTGTGTTTTGTAGTGATTTTACAAAAACATTTCATCAAAAAGGGCTAAGAAAAGGCTGCAGCTTGTTACATTACCTTGTCGTTACATCAGAAACGAAAAGGTCTCACAGATACTGGGTGAGAGATTTGATTAAAAGGGGAGAAAACAAGAATATAATGGACATATTATTAGAAGAATTAGAATGATCAGATAAGGAATGTTATAAGAACTTTCTTCGAATAACCGCCGCTGATTTTCGTTATTTGCAAGATTTAATTCCACCAGTTGAACGACTAGTCCCTTTGGCTGCCTGGCCCCTTTTAGTGTGTTTTCGTTTTCTGTTGATGCTTTGGAATTAACAACGAAAGTTATGTATTTTATTCTTCACTTCTTGAGTCGGAATTCCCAACTTATTGAAAATTTCATCGATAGCTGATTTTTAAAGATTTCTAAAGATTCTCTTCTATTCTATTTTTAAAGGTTTTATAGTTTTCGAACGAACAGTCCCACAAATTAGGATAGCATTCATATAACTCAATTAACTGCAGTATCATAGTTCTTGTCCAGTTAGACACTATTCTTTTCTTTTTAAACCATTTTTTTCACTTGCAGAACTCATTTTTGGGGAAAACAAATAATTATCTGCCGACACAACAGCGAAACTCACATGTAGCGCGTGAAATAAATATCTCATGCGAAATACGTTGAAACTTGTAGAAGAAATAAAACTCTCATGACACATTGTTTCACAAGATTATCTCTAGTCACGTATTTCAATCCCTATTTCCACAACGAAATTATTGCTGAGACGAAAATCTCATGAAATATTCTCATTGCGGATTCGCACCTAAACAACAGGATGGGCAACTACCAACTTAAAATCTATCTTGACATAATACAACCACCCAAAATACCTCGAAATAACATCTTCCAAAAGCTGAGCGGCACCACAAGAAGGTTTCTCAGCTTCCATACTCAGATCGACAGCACTGGGTCTGATGTACTTCGTCGTGGAGTACTGTGTTCACTAATCATGTTGATATCCAACTCAATAAAGCTATGAGTACAAGTAGAATCGAGACCACGCCCATTTACTGGATTGTTGATGATGTTTCTTATGGATACTTTACAATCTATTCCTTATTTTACTATGAATGTTAACTAACTGATGTACAAATAAGATTTCGAAGGTTGGTTGTTCTTTAATAAGTTGCATTTCATCTTATCAAGACCGTTTATTTTTCGCACATCAACTTCTAGGTTGGTAACAGCTTTCATTAAATTTTCCACAGATTCGAAATCACATTCTTCAAATTATTAAATATCGCTATAAAATGCTTTATTATTAAATGCGTTTTAATCCGATTTCCTTCTGGATTAAATGCTTTTGTAAAATTTTTTGGTGAAATATTGCATCAAAATAACCTAATTTGTTCCCATGAAAATATCCCATAGACACATAAATACATATTTATGTATAGCCCAATTTTCAATTGCAGACATGTCTTGAATGCTTCAACTATAGACCAATAATGTTACTTAAAAACTTGTATCAGGCATAATACACAATAGACTAACTAATTACGCCAACTAATTAATTGTGGGTTTCGCCGAGTTTTATTATATTTTATACAGAGATTTTACGCAAGCTTTCAACAGTCGAAATAGAAATAAAATGGTTCATATAAAATTCATTAATATGACCATGGCTGGATGACCCATGGAGGACCAAAGCAGTAGTGACAACTAACATACAGAGGCCCTCCATATCAACACTGGTGTCAAACAAGGAGTGCGCTATCTGCCATACTGTTTCGACCTGGTACTAGAAGCATCACTTAAAAAGGCCTAAGAACTACTCGCCTACACAGATGTGCTTAGTATTGCACATTGTCAAACAAAAAGCTCCTTAAAAACAACCAAGCAAACATTGAAAGTGAATCAAAGGAAAGGGATTTATTATTCAATAAACATATACAATTGTTATTAATTAAATAATTTCAGGCATAACTCAATCGGAGTTGAAGTCAAAATAAAAATTTAAGGTTTAAATAGCCAATCATAGTTAGTCTCATAGTGCATTGAACAGAGAGAGAAAGTAATTAGGAAGCATTTGAAAACTGGATCTATCTTCGTTTCAGCACCATACATTTCATACTAAAGTTTGGAACTAATAAAACGAACTTATAACATAAATGAACTTATGCATAGTGATTTTCTTGATTTGAAAGCTTTGATGTTAGGTATATGATGCTTAGGTTATATCTATCACGTCATGGGTTACCTCCTATATACAAACTTATGTAAAGACGTCCCATAGATACTTTCAATCTCCTCCTTGCAAACATTTTAGTTGATTACTAAGAAGATAAATTATTCTCCAAAAAACGTAAAAATCACAGAAGTATTAATAATTCTACTAATTAAATAATAACAGTATTTTAGAAGAAGTAAACATTAAAAATCGTCAGAAAAACCATATCACAAAAGAAGAAAGAATAATAATAGCATGTATTAAACACTTCAACTTAAAAATAAAATCAAATTAAGATGACTATTAGTAAAGTTTTCTAAACTAATAAGGCAAGGGTTTGTGCAGTAATGCAACAGATAGAGAAGGAGACCACTGAGATTCAATCTAACGTTATTAGATACACTGGTGATGAAAACATTTCAGTGATTAATAAGTTAAAGGGAAAATTCATGAGAAAAAAGCGGTACCTTAAGATATTATCTCAGTTGATTAATAGAGAATTATATGGTCTAATTTGGTGAAGAAAACCGGATTCAAATAAACCAGGGAAGTCAACTTCTTCGAAACTTTCTTCAATAAGATCTTGAAATAAAGCAAAACCTTCATCCTTATTAAAATCACATTTTTTTGACTCATATTGAAACTCATACACTTCCATTGTTTTTGAAGAAGTTTCAATAATAACAAATAAACGAAAATTTAGAACGTATTGCGAAAAGTAACCACTATTTAGCTAAAATTACGGCAGAACAATAACAACATCAACAAAAGTTATGGGCTATTTCGAAGTTTCATTAATAATCTTGATGTAAATGAAGAAATCAATAATTTATGCTGCATAGGAAGGTTGTTATTAATGTATGATATATCAAACAGATGCAAACCTATAATATTATAAATATTCTTGATGTAAAAAGCAATCCTATTGGCAATTAAAACATAAAGAATACTTCTATGATTTAATGTTGTTCACCAACACAATTAAATATTTCAAAATATAGCAATTATTATTGAAAGGAAAGAATAAAAATATAAGAGAATCTTGTATATTTTTAGATTTAAAAAAAATGCATCTTTCCTTACTTAATAGAAGCTGTATCAGAAACTGCTATTCCTGCTTCTAATAATTAATTAACAAACAAAATTAAAAAATACTGTTAAATGATTTCAGATTTAGAAGTATTAACCACCAATTGCATTTTTATTAAATCTGTTTGAAATAGAAATTCATAACAATAGCTTTGTATTAATAAAATGTTTACTTCCAGATATGGTATTAGGAGAATAAGAATTAATTGAGATGTAAAAAGATAACAACTATTTAAAAATGCAGCTCTTACTGCAATGAATTTGGTCAACCCTGTTATATATCACAAATTTGAAAGTTTTAAACATGATTTGAAAACACATCATATCTGAAGACACATCAACAGAAATAATATCACATTTTTAAACAACTTGAAGATATGGAAAAGTTAACACAACAACCACATTTACAATGTAATGAATTTATAGAAGAAAGTTAAAATCAACACTTCCAGGAAATGTAAAACACCCATCAAAAAATAAAGTAACATAAATACATCCTCCTTTCTTTCTTATATCCAAAAACCACAAATTTATGTCAACTATTGAACTGAAACCTAAAAAGAAAAAACGTTATGTAACCTTAATTTCTCTTAATAGAAGGAAGAATATGTGCAGTGATAATCAAAAATGTTATATCCATACTTTTTGTATGTATTTCCTAACTTTTAAATTACTCTTTGAATCATTCTTGGAGAATGATTTAGCTTCATCACTTAATTTTCCATCTTTAGAACACATATATTACAGAGCTTCACAAAAAAATAGCAACAGCCCAAAGCAAAAAATAACAAAATCCAAGAATAATTGGAACACATAAAAAGTAGACAAAATGGTGATTGTTTGAGTAACCATTTTATAATTTATCTACTCCCATGATTTCTTTGTCTCTTTAAGACAAAAGGCCATGAAGATGGTTATTTAAGCTAAAACTAAAAACAGAATAATGTGTTAAATATAAAAAGTACTATTTAATACTGTAGAAATAGTTAAGATGTTCTAACATAGTATCGTAATACATTTTTGAAGTACATGCTATAATGAAACTAAGAGTAAACATTAATTTGTTAACTGGGATCAATAATAAACAATAAACAAACTTGAAGAAAATGAAAAATATGAATGAAAAAAGTTCTAATATAAAATGAAGAGAAATGAAAGTGTTAAAAAGTACTTATATAACCAATAAAACTTACTAAGTCCAGGAGGACTTCCCATATTCATCTGTTTATCAACTTCGTTCTGCAATTGCTTCAATTTCTCAGCTTCTTCCTCCATTTCCTTAACTCTAGCTTTGATGGCCTCTAGTTCTGGGTCATCTGCTCCGCCACCGTCACCGTCGGTGTCGTTCAGAAGAGCATCGTCGTTGATACCGTTGGTGTCGTCCAACGAGTCCAATTGGTCCTCAGACCCAAGCCCTAAGTCTTCATTATCAGTCATATCTGTGGGAAAAAAAGGGGCGAAAAAAAATGCCTAACCTTCAAGTCGCGGTTGCGCCGCTCCGCTTCCGTCCCAAACTGCACAGGAATGCCGATTGAAGTCGGCGGATGAGCTTTGACGGCGGCGGAAAAGCGATAAAGAGTCGATAAAAGGTGTACGTGGCCGAAAATTATCGGAAATGGGGCAGGATTTCAAGAAGCATGTGTTTACAAACACCAAGCTATCGTTATCGGGTTGGATTTCAGGACGGTTGTGGCGTGGGCGGGTATGAAGGTCGTGGGTGTGAAGTTGGGGGACGAAGGATGGCCTTACCTTGAAAAAAATCCTACCGAAGAACTGAATGTTAATTGTTAATTAGGGGAGCCGGTGTTTCAAAGATGCGTTTTGCTTCTTCACGTACTCGGCTTTCGTTACCAACCTAAACGAGGTTATCAAGAAAAATCACTAAATAAATGATCATTACAATTTTAACAAAGTCATCAATTCTATAAACTCTTCTTTACACAAATAAAAAAAAGTTATCTATCCCGATAATAATTATTGCTAAACCATTTACCACGAATTATTCTTTTTTTAACTTTCATCAACAAAGGCAATTTTAATTTTCGTCAAGTAATCCATAGATGTCACCAGTAGTTATAATTTTGACGTCTTATAAAAATAACCTAAAAATATTTAAAATCAAAATTTATTATTTTATATTTCAACACGGTACGTAATTGTTTTAACAATCTTATTATTTAATTATTGATTAATCATTGTTTAACGATAAAAATCCCCTAAATGGATTTTAGATTTTAGCGCAATGTAGTTGCAACACGTTATACAATTTCATGGTCAACCGTTTTGTTCCGTTTAAGACATGGAGCGTGGTTCATTTGCGGGCACCGCGGCTGTGGTTCAAGCCAAGTGCGCATTTCCCCATTGTCTCCTTAATAAATTACGCAAGAAACGGCGCGCAGAGACCGCTGCGACCCGACTGAAAGAGACGTAAATCCGTATTTTGCAACGGAAATAAACACACACAAAGAAATTCTCCCTCGCTGGATATGATAGTGCCCGAACACAATAATGTAAATAAAACGGCGGAAAGCGGTGCGAATTGCGAGTCAACGTCGAAAAGCTAAACCAAAAAATGACCACCTAAAGATATACACAGAGTCGTATTTAGGTTAAACGAAACTGTTTGAAGAGTAAACAGAAAAAATATATACCCATGTTATCCTTTAAAAATAAACAATCCCATAATTTATGTATTGATTTTTGGAAAAACTTAGTTTTCTGGTAAATCGTTTCTAGGTTATGTTTGTGTTATTCTGTTAAATGTTTTCAACAACACAACAAAACTACTTAGACTAAATGAATATCAAAGGCATTTGTAAATCAATAGATTATGTCTTTACTCTTTACACAACAGAATAAAATTGGTAACATTCAATATTTATGTTAAATATACTATGACATACTTTATAACCGACTATCAACATATTGTGAAGAGATAATAGCCAAGTATCATTGTGAANCAAAGGCATTTGTAAATCAATAGATTATGTCTTTACTCTTTACACAACAGAATAAAATTGGTAACATTCAATATTTATGTTAAATATACTATGACATACTTTATAACCGACTATCAACATATTGTGAAGAGATAATAGCCAAGTATCATTGTGAAGAAAAGATCTACGAATACGGGATGGACACCCACAACTTATTTATAGATTTTAAAAGTATCTACGATAGTGTAAAAGTGTCCTGTATAACGCAATAAAAGAATTCAATAACCTCCCAGCAACAAACTTTAACCCATAATTTCCTATCTATGTTCTTAACTGATATCTTCTTTATTACTAGAGATAGCGAAAAACTAAATACACCACTTGAAAGCTTGAGTCTTTCTCTATTTAAACCTTTTCGTCTGCCGTCAGTTCTCGTCAGTTTTCTCCTGGTCATATAAGAAAGTTGACCCGAACAAGGTTTAAAAATGGCTAATACGTGTGAATTTAGCAGTTTTTGGCCAAAAACGTACTTGTGCACGCGCCTGATCGCCACGTGTTATTCACCATTAGAAAGAGCAGGAAATTTTCGATAAGATAGATATGGTTCTAGAGTTTTCTCCTGGTCATATAAGAAAGTTATCGACCCAAACAGGGTTTAAGAATGGCTAAAACGTGTGAATTTAGCAGTTTTTGGCCAAAAAACGTACTTGTGCAAGCGCGTGATCGCCGCGTGTTATTCACCACTAGAAAGAGCAGGAAATTTCCGATAAGATAGATATGGTTCTACAGTTTTCTCCTGATCATATAAGAAAGTTATCGACCCAAACAAGGTTTAAAAATGGCTAAAATATATGAATTTTGCAGTTTTTGGCCAAAAAGGTACTTGTGCAGGCTTGTAATCGCGTGTTATACACCATTAGAAAAAGAAGAAAATTTTCGATAAGATAGATATACTACTATAGTTTTCCCCCTATCATATAAAAGTTGAAAGTTGTTTAGAGGAAGAGTATTTAAGCGTTTCTGCGTGTAGGGATGGATATTATATAGGAGGGTATACAGGTGTCTCAGCGAGACTGGTCATTAGACGTTTTTGNATTTGTAAATCAATAGATTATGTCTTTACTCTTTACACAACAGAATAAAATTGGTAACATTCAATATTTATGTTAAATATACTATGACATACTTTGTGACCGACTATCAACATACTGTGAAGAGATAATAGCCAAGTATCAAAGTGAAGAAAAGACCTACGAATACGGGATGGACACCCATAACTTATTTATAGATTTTAAAAGTGTCTACGATAGTGCAAAAGTGTCCTGTATAACGCAATGAAAGAATTCAATAACCTCCCAGCATCTTCCTTATTACTAGAGATAGCGAAAAACTAAATACACCACTTGAAAGCTTGAATCTTTCTCTATCTTTTTGTCTGCCGTCAGTTTTCTCCTGGTCGTATAAGAAAGTTATCGACCCAAACAGGGTTTAAGAATGGCTATAACGTGTGAATTTAGCAGTTTTTGTCCAAAAAGGTACTTGTGCAAGCGCGTGATCGCCGCGTGTTATTCACCACTAGAAAGAACAGGAAATTCCCGATAAGATAGATATGGTGCTAGAGTTTTCTCCTGATCATATAAGAAAGTTATCGACCCAAACAAGGTTTAAAAATGGCTAAAATATATGAATTTTGCAGTTTTTGGCCAAAAAGGTACTTGTGCAGGCTTGTAATCGCGTGTTATACACCATTAGAAAAAGAAGAAAATTTTCGATAAGATAGATATACTACTATAGTTTTCCCCCTATCAAATAAGAAAGTTGTTTAGAGGAAAAGTATTTAAGCGTTTCTGCGTGTGGGGATGTATATTAAGGGTGATTTAAGCATGACGCCGATAGATATTGACCGACGAAAACCCGGATTAAGATAGTTTACGGGGCGCTCATTCCGACTGTGATAACAGTTTTTCAAAATTCGCTTTTTATAACAATTCCACAAGGCCTTGAAGTTTGGTACTTTAAGTACAGAGCGGGTTTCTTCATTTTTTACTGATCTTAATATCAACTTATCGGCAGATAAGGTTTTAGATAGAGAAAAATTCAAGCTTTTAGTTTTTCGCTATATCTAATAATAAGGAAGATATCAGCTAAGAAAGTAGATAGGAAATTACGGGTTAAAGTTTGTTGCTATCATCACACGGGTCAATATCCCAATACATTTAGTAACATTAGTAAAAGCAACGCTCTCACAAATTGAGTGTAAAGTCAAGGTCCAAAATAACTTATCAAGATTCTTTCAGACAAGTTTGAGGCTACGCCAGGGGGACAGTCTATCATTCCTACTGTTTAACATCGCCCTAGAGAAGACTGTAAGAGAATCGGGTATAGCAAATAGAGGAACCATTATTAATAGAAGCGTACAGATACTAGCATACGCCAACGACATAGATATAATAGCTAGAACAAAAAGGGACCTCATAGACGCCTTTAAAGCATTGGAAGTTATAAGACCAGTCCTCACGTATGCGTCAAAAACATAGACTATGACAAAAAATGTCGAAAACTTGTTGGGCTGCTTTGAAAGAATGATACTCTGCCACATATACAGCGGTGTTCAGGAAAACGGAATATGGAGAAGGTGTTACAATTTTGAGTTGTACCGGCTCTATGAAGAACCGAATTTTACATAATCTATCAAAATCAATAGGTTAAGGTGGCTCGGCCATCTAGAAAAGATGGAACTCCCAAAGCAAATGTTTCGCCAAATAGTTTTTGGAACCTGCAAGAGAGGCAAGCCTAGAATCAGATATAAGGATATAAGGACCAGATGGAAGAAAGTCTAAAAATGCTGGGATTTAGAAACTGGAAGGCCAAAGTACGAGATGGAAGAGAGTGGAAGCTGATCCTAGAACAGGCCAAGACCCAGCATTGTGGTACCAATGATGATGATATTATGATTAAACATAAAGTTTCTTAAGCCTAAGAATATTTGTACTCCACTTTATTTATATTTCGATGGGAAATAAATTCATAATTATTAAATGATAATAATAATAATAAGTTAAAATATTGGGTTTAATTGAAAATAGTTTTTCAATATNCATTATTAATAGAAGCGTACAGATACTAGCATACGCCGACGAATATATAATAGCTAGAACAGAAAGGGACCTCATAGACTTCTTTAAAGCATTGGAAGGCGCAGCAGGAAGATAAGGGCTACACGTAAATACGACCAAAACAAAATATATGAAGGTTACTAATAACGCACAGCTAACCCCACCTGAAGATCTGATTAGTGAACCATACACGTTCAAAGGTGTAACAGACTGTATATGGAAATAGAGTTTACTTTGGATTGAGGAAACTATTGACATCAGGCGTAGTAATCAACAAAACTATCAATAGACTATGACAAAAAATGTCGAAAACTTATTGCGCTGCTTTGAACGAAAGATACTCTGCCACATATACAGCGGTGTTCAGGAAAACGGAATATGGAGAAGGTGTTACAACTTTGCAACAAGTTAACCCGCAAGAGAAGCAAGCCTAGAAGCAGATATAAGTATCAGATGAAAGAAAGTCTAAAAATGCTGAGAGTTAGAAACTGGAAGGCCAAGGCCAAGATAGAAGAGAGGGGAAGCTGATCCTAGAACAGGCCAAGACCTACCAGAGGTTGTGGAGTATATTATGATTAAACATAAAGTTTCTTAAGCCTAAGAATATTTGTACTCCACTTTATTTATATTTCGATGGGAAATAAATTCATAATTATTAAATGATAATAATAATAATAAGTTAAAATATTGGGTTTAATTGAAAATAGTTTTTCAATATTTAGATTGGATTTTAACTAATATGTTGTTTAGCTAATAAAATAAGAAATTCAAACACTTTCATTAGTTCAGTTTAATGAACTTTACAAGATTGTTAATCATTGTTGATTACCGATGATGGTGGGTTTCAATATTTTAACACATCTTAATCCGGTTCTGAAAGGCAAAAACAAAGTAAAACTTGAACCTTCTTTGTTCACAGTGAGAGAAATTACCTCCGAGTCGCAATAAATTACGTCTATTAACTACCACTTTGACAAAGAAGCTTCTTCGTTCTTTATTGACGTATTTTCTTTGGCAACACATTTGTATTATCTTTTCTTAATTTAGACGAAAAAGTGTTGCTTAACAAAATTTCCTTTAATGAAAGAAGTAGTGTATTAAGAAGTAGTCTTTTTTGAAGTAGTCTATTAGGAAAATTATATTCAAAAGTAATAATTTCAACAAAAAACTTTTACCTTTATTTTTCTACCTACTTTACAAGTCGATATCTTCGTTGTCCTTAGAGATACTGAAACTTCAAGCCTATGTGCAGCCATTATGAAACCGAATAAAAAAAAACGAAAATAAACAATTATATACCTACTTATTAAAAATTATATTAAATATATATTAAGCTCCATTTTTAACATCTGCGTGAATCTGAGATACTTTTTTAACACCTGGAATGAAGCTGAAATATTAATGTTTAGCAAACCTTGCATAAATAAACGAGAAATTGAAAATTATACATTTATTAGTCCGTTCCCACCATGGGTAAACTTTTTGAGAAATAGGAGGGATAAAATTCAACTGTATATCAACTGACAATAGTGACAAATATAATAAAGCGAGGATATGAAACTAAACAGTACTACAGCTGCCTTTCTAGACATAGCAAAGGTCATTGATTTAGATGGCTATATGGTTTAAAA